CCCCGTGACGTCAGGCGGCCCGAGGGCCTCTTTGCCTCCTGGGCGGCGGCCATGCTCCCCGCGGATGTGCCCCGACGCTCGGAGACGTGTCTTCGCAGGACCGCTTGCGGCGCTAGGGCTAGTTCTACGTCGCCTGCCAAGACTCCTCTTAGTACGTCTTGGGTGTGTTTTCTGTCTTTGAGAAGATACGAATGTGGACTCTGGCTCTCGCTCCGGCTGGGGACGTCTGAGCCTGGTTGCAGGGCCAGCGTGGGTTGTGCACCCAGTGTGTGCGCTTGGGGACCGGTGCGTGGTGGTTTCGCCGCCTCGTAGTCAGCTCAGTGTGTCCTCGTCGGCCCTCCACCTCCTTGTGGTTTTAAGGGGGTGACATTCTGGCGGAGGAGAGATGGAGGTTTTGATCCTGGGATGAATTCGGCTAACCAGTGGTTTTCAACCCTGTCTGCACATCAGAATCACTGGGGGAGAATGAAGAATACCGGTTTTCCGGCCCCAGCCCTGGAGATTCTGATTTAGTGGTTCTGCGCTGGAGCCTAGACTGGCATTTTGCCAAAATCCCCCAGGCGATTCTCTTCTGGGAGACTTCTCCCGGCACTAGGGTTTTATCAGTTCCTAAGGCAGCCTATGAGAATTTCCATCATACCAGGACTCTAGGCAGAACTAGAAGAGGCTGGAGTTGCTGCTCCCTTCTCTTCACCCCACAACTTTTCTGGAAAAAGTTCAGATTTGCCTTAGGGCTCCCTACTGCAGAAAATGGTGGGAAGTATTGCTGTCAGCCCTGCTTCCAGGGGACCCCTCAGCCCTGCTCCACTGGATTTAGTCAAATACAGTGGCAGCCTCTTTCTTTCAAAGGGTGCCTTCTGGCAGTGGCCACTAATTGCTGGATCTTTCCACATTACACAGCATGAAAGCTTGAGTCAGCTTCCAGCCCCGGGGCCAGCCCTAGGGGAAACAGACTTATAAAAATCTCTCCCCTGACTCTGGCCTTGGTTTCCCTACCTTGAGGGAAGGCAGAAGTCAGGCCAAGAAGTCCAGGCCACAGCACTATGGGGGGAGAGGGGACTGCAAACTTAGGTTTCCCTGCTGTTGTGAATTTAGTGAATGGGAGGGAAAGACAAGGACCTTATTTTGAATTCAGTGTGAGAGCCATAGTTGGCCTTTACAGTGTTTCTCTTGGCACACTAGGATTTTTATAAAACCTCCCTATATTGGGTCCCTGGACAGTAGGATCTAGGCAGTTTCCTAAACTTAACCTGAACCTAATAATTGTCTGGGGGCATTTTTAGAGAGGCAAGTGTGGATGGGACCTAAACAAATTCCAAATTTGGACAAATTGGGGTGTGGAAGGTATTTCTAACAGGTTCCCAGGTGATACTGAGGCAGTTCGTCTGCGGACCACCCTTTAGCTCCTAGGCCGGGTGTTGAAGAATGGACACCTCCTTTCGGCTTGTCACCCACCATCCGGACCTTAGGCAAGTCATTTCTGTCTTTCTGCATTTGGAAATGAGAGAGACTGGTATCTAGAATTTGTGAAGATCACATGCATCCTCAGTAAAAGGCAAGAGGATACACAAAAGCCAAGTCTTGTCATGAGCAACAGATTTAACTAGGATGGAATTCCTGCGTGGAAGGCAAAAATCCAAGGCAGAGGACAGAGGGGGAGGGTACATCCTACAGGCCAGGCCTGGCACTACCCGCTTGGCAGCGCTCCTGGCATGGAATCTGAGGAAGAGGTTTAATCCACGGGAGCCACCCTCAGCAAACATTCCTCTCTAATACCCTAGAGGCTAACATCTCCTCTGGCTGAATGTCACAGAGAAAAGCCTCTCAGTTTCCTGCCCCTGCAGGAGGGGAGCTTCCTGGGCTAGTTTCCCACATGTTCCCCGTCGCCTGCTTTTTTTCTGGCTTGGTTGCTGTTTGGGAAGCTCTCATCATTCCCCACCATGCCTTCTACTGGGTAGACCCCTGTTCATTGACTCCGGCCCTTGCCTCTTTCCAAGAAAACCCTTGCCTCTACCAGAAAAACCTTTCACAGCAATTCCATGGCTCATAGGGGAGAACAACATTCCAGTTTCATCTTTGTAGTTTAAAAGGCTGTCAACGTCCCTGCTGATTTGAAGGTTTAGGGACCACAGGAGCTCAATTTTGAACATGGAAGGTATTGTCATTATTAATAGTAACAATAATAGCAACTGCTTTTTATTGCACTCCTAATATGTTCCAGTGGGACCCTTTTCATTGTCTCCTTTCTGCAGAGGAGGAGACAGGAACACAGAAAGGGGAAGTCAACATACAAGATTGCACAGCTGTTAAGAGGCTGAACTGCAACTTAAACTCAGGATCTTCAATCCAAGCCCTTGTATATTTTCTTTGGTTTCAAGTCAACCTGCAGGAAGGCTTCGGAATAAGAAGTCTTGCTTGCCCTGTGAACTGGGCTACTCACAGCAGAAGCAGTGGGTAGGTGTTCTCTGAGCTGCTCTGAATGTTCCAGTGAGCTACAGATGGTGACAGGAACATTCTTCTTGTTCTCTTAAGAACGTCTGACTTGACTGACAAGTGGCAATGTGGGAATGACTTCCAAACCAAACTCAAATTCATAAAGATCCTTTGGCCTCTCCCTGAGTGTCCAGGTGTGTAACTGGTAGTTGTGCTGTACTAGGGCATGGGCAAGACGCCAGCATTGGCCGTCTGCCTGTGAACAGGGCATGTGGGAGAGCTCCAGGTTAGAGTCCCATTCTGCACTGCAGGAGAGAAATCTCTCAGCTCTGAGACCCCAGCCTATGTGTAGAGAGTGTCTGCCCTGAGGGGTATCTCCTGTCAATTTCACCATTCTACTGCCACTGCCTTTAGCCAATTGCATACCAGGAAATACTAAGAAAATAAAGGTAGAAAGGGTATCTCAAAAGGAAGGAGAGAAATAGTTAAGGAACTCAGGGTTGCATCTATCCAATATGATGCCTTTGTGCGCATGAGAAAAAGCATCTCTTCTGCAATATGCCTTGCTATCATCTGCCAGAAAATTGTTGCTGTGCAGATACAAATCTCCCACCACTATGATCTGAATGGCGCCGCCTAGAGTTGTGTGGCACACACCCTGCAGCCCTGAGGAGTCTTGGCTTTCTCTGATGGGGTACAGAGCTCAAATAACTCTGCATTCCTCCTCCTTCATTCCCTCCTTTCATATCTCACTCCTCTTTTCCCTGTAGATAAGGATATCTGTTGTTCAATGCAGTAAGCATGATGCGAATGGTCTCATAAGCTCCCTCCACCCCCAAAATGGGAAGAAAGCAATTCGTTGGTCAAGGGATTTTTTTCCTCCCATTTCCCAGTGTCAGAGACAGTCAGAGAAAGATAGTTTGGATGCCAAAATGTTGGAATCTCCACATATTTTTCCAGAGTTCTGGAAGATAATGATCCAGGAAGTGTACGCCCTGAGATGGTGGTGTTGGTGAGACCAGGGAGGGAAGGAGGAAGGGCGAGGGAGGAGGGGGCTGTGTGATGTGTTGGAAGAGGCTGAGAGCTCCATAATACCCACCCTAGAATTAGGCTGTATCCCTTCAGGGGTCTATGTTCCCAGCTCCTCACAACTGTTCTTTCTGTAGGTCTGCTGTTTCTAGGAGTGGCTATGAATCTGCATCTAAGGACTTTGATGACTTGGAGGTCCAAGTTCCTGGAAGAATCTTCTTGGTCACCAGAGGAAACAGCAGCATTGGAAAAGTGACTACCCTTGAAATGGCCAAGCGAGGTGAGCAGCTGCTGACCTGTGTATCCACTGAGCCCCATGGTACCCTGCATCACAAGCAGGTCACACAGTCCTGGACCGTGAGCCCAGGGTCGTGGACACAGCTGCCAGCTTTCTGAGCTGTGTTTTGAGCTTGGAGTCAGAGGTGGATAGAGCAAGTGACTGGAATCCTCTCCTCAACACTTAATTAATTCACAGGAGAGCTCAGGTCCTGCCCTCATGTTTACAGTGTTTTCTGGTTAAGAGCAGTGAGAAGGTCGAGTGAGCCCTGGTCAGCAGAATCACCAGTAGAACTAAACAACAACATAAAATGGACACTTGGTCTCTGGTTCATGTCTGCTCAGTGCAAATCTCTTGGGGCATGGGGCGGGAGACCCTTGGGTCCACTGAAATTTGGATGTGGACCATACTTAAAAACCAACAATTATGAAGCTCATCTGGAAAAACAAAACAAAAGAACCAATAAGGCTGGGATCACACCTGCAATACTAGCACTTTGGGAGGCTGAGGTGGAAAGATTACTTGAGCCCAGGAGTTCAAGACCAGCCTGAGCAACATCTCTACAAAAAAATAAAACAAATTGGCGGGGTTTGGTGGCTCACAGCCATAGTTCCAGCTACTTAGGAGGCTGAGGTAGGGGATCGCCTGAACCAGGAGCTTGAGGCTGCAGTGAGCTATGATTGGACCACTGTACTCCCACACTCCAGGCTGGGCAACAGAGACACCGCAGTCTCTTGTGGCACCAAAATAACTGGAGAGGGAGTGCTTTGAACTACTTTCCTCCTTGCTGGCTTCCAGCCTCCAGGGTTAAAGCAGGGGGAGGTTAGAGCAGCTTCCCTTCCCTTGCCCTAACTGGAAAGAGGCTCTCCAGGTGCCTCATACATTATTCAGTCAGTATGATTTGTCTGGCAAATGCCAGATTCTCCTGCATGAGCTCAACTGCCTTGGGTCACCAAAAGGCCCTGTGGTGGCTGGAAAAGTTTGCCATGTCTCTCCAGACAGAACCTCTTTTCTAGGAAAAATGGATGTTCCAGCAGAAGTGAGGGAAATTGGCTGGAAATTGATCACTTTTCGAGATGCTAAAGGTGTTTCTCTTTCTCTAAAACCAAGTTAGACATTTTCCAGGGGAATATTATATCATTTGGAGCTTTATTTAATTACCTACCAAGTCAGGGAGAGGATTAAGTGCATCTTAGCAACTGGGGAGCACTCAGAGAGGCTGCGAGAAGGGGGCTGGTTCCGTGGTTAGCCTGTGGCCACCATGAAACAGACCCCATTTAATAAAATGGGTGATTTTCAGTGAAGAAAGCAGACTCCATAATGATTACTTCTTAACTGCCAAAGCCAAGGCATCCCACTTTAAATGGACCTTGATTGATGCCATATGGCATTTGCTGGAATAATATGAAAGCTATTTATGGATTCAATGATCAATAAATAATTACATCATTTAAAATTTTATATGTATATATATTTTGTAGAGATGGGCTCTTGCTATGTTGCCCATCCTAGTCTTGGACTCCTGGCCTCAAGTGAGCCTCCCACCTTGGCCTCCCAAAATGCTGGGATTACAGGTGCAAGCCATAGCACACGGCCTCAGTAAATATTTATTGAGCCCCTACTACATACTAGGCCAGTGGTTCTCTATTTTCACTACACATTAGGTCACCCAGAAAGGTTGTAAAACATACCAGGCCTGGACCCACGGTCTAGATTTTTAAAAGCTCTCCTGATGAGTCTAAAGTGCAGCCCGGGTTGAGCCCACTGTCCGTCAGCCCAGATAGGCAAGAGAGAAGGTTCCAGCATCTCCCCCTACTACCCTCACTACTACCGTGGGGACCATCCTTCCAGGTTTCACTGAAAGAGTCCCTATTTTGGGTATTCTTTTTGCGAGCCCCTATGTCTGAATTTTTCATTTGGAGAAGCTGGTTTCTGTAGCGCTAGCTGTAACTCACAGATGGTTTCGTTGAATTCCACCAGGTGGCATCATTCACCTGGTTTGTTGCAATCAGAAACAAGCGGAGGGAGCCAGAGGTGAGCTCATCAGGGAGAGCGGGAACCAGGTGAGCTGTTCTTCGCTTCTGGAGTTTCTTGCTTCTGTGGTCAGCCGTGAAGAGGCTGGATGTCCTTCAGGTTGGCAATGGCTTGTGTTTGTGTCAAGAGGGCCTCGGCGGGTGGAAAACTGGAGCCTGATTTTGAACGGCTGGGTTTGACCTGGGAGGAGGAGCGGGGCACTGAGGTTTGACCGCAGGGACATTACACTGGAAGATGGCACTGCCAGGTTTCCCATCCCAGAGGGAGCTTGCATCAGGGAGACATCTCCGGTGCCCCCAAGCCATGCATGGACCCAATGGCCTTCTGTTAAAGAGGATTGAACACCTGACAGCACTTGGATCTTGATGAGAGCTACTATCTCACGTGATGTGGTCTTCCTCTTCTGAGGGAGTTGGAACCAGGATTGGCTGCATAATTTGCAGGGCTCGGGGCAAAAAGAAAATGCAGGGACCCTTGTCTAAAAGTTATTAAGAATTTCAAGATGGCGAAGGCAGAGCACTAAACCAAGCTTCAATGCCCTCCACATGTGGGGCTTGTGCACCTGGACAAACTTGTACTCCTGTGCTGCATTCCTCGTACAGCCGTGAGGCTGGTCCCAGATGGTAAAGCCCAACCTCTGCTGCCAAGTACAAAGCAGGGACCCCTCCAAGGATGCTCAGTTACCACAGCTACTCACTGTTACCAAAGACCATCCTCATTCGCTTCCTACCTCTCTCCTCTTGGAGACCCCATAACTGGAGGCCCAAGGGAGGGGAACTGGGGAGGAGCAGTACCCATGCCCCAGACATGGTCTGTGGCTGGAAAGCAAAACGCCCCAATCTAGAATGGGCTATTTTGCATCAGCTTTGAAATAAGATTTTTAAAGCACGTGGCTGTTCGTCTGCCTTCTCAGGAATCCCGTCTTCCGCCATCAGAGCCTCTCTGAGGCTTAGTGCTGGTGGCACACGTGAGGGTCTCTAAATCTTCCTCTAATATCTGCGAGTGCCACCGCGATCCACGGGCTGCAGTTCTTGAGATTGAAAGCTGGCTGTCTGCCTGCTGATAACTTTCAGTGGTGCTGCTAAAGGATGCCACGGGAATAACTAATCTCAGGCTGTGGGCAGGAGGCCCGTCTGGATCCCAGCCTGCTGTGCTGTGGGCCTCATGTTTTCTAAAGTGCATTTACATGAGAAGAGATGATAATGTGGTTCTGTTGGTCGTATGGAGCTATCCTGGTATCCAATTCCATCATCTTTAGGAGGGGTGTAGAACTAACAAGCGAGCATACACGCTCCTGGAGTGGGGAGATAATGAACCCCACCTGCTGTCCCCCTCACCCCAGTACACATTCATGAGGTGGGATTTGAACTCACAGGACATTCATTCATTCTTCGTGTGTGTGTGTGTGTGTGTGTGTGTGTGTGTGTGTGTGTTTTGAGTTCGGTCTCCCTCTGTCACCCAGGCTGGATGGAGTGCAGTGGCATAATCATGGCTCACCGCAGCCTTGACCTCTCAGGCTCAGATGATCCTTCTGCCTCAGCCTCCTGAGTAGCTGGGACTACATTATGGGTGCCACTATGCCCAGCAATTTTTTTTGATTTTTTTTTGTAGAGATGGGGTCTTACTATGTTGCCTAGGCTGGTCTCAAACTCCTGGGCAATCCTCCCACCTTAGTCTCCCAAAGTGTTGGGATTACAGGCATGAGCAACTATGCCCAGCCTCCTCTCTTGAGCTTATATGAGGCCTCAGCACACCGAGTGGAGCATCCAGGGCTGAGGGTCCCTGTCTGCTCACACTGGTGCCTGTGGTTTCCCTGACTCCGCGTTTCCCTGCTGATGAAGAGGCCACCGCTTCATCCAGTCTACCATGGCTAGGCAGCTCACACACACAGCATGCATGCAGAAAGGGGCTGGGTTGTGACTTGAGTCCTGGTCTTGCACTCTCCCGCCTGTGAACTTGGGCAGTGTTTTAGCTTCCCTGAACCTGTTTCCTCATGGAAAAACAGAGGCGATATTGCTTTATTCATTTTTAAAATATGTATCTGAGTGTGTGTGCTTCCAGAAGCAGAAGGCGTGTGTGGTAGGGCCATGAGTGACCAGTGCTGGCTGCCTGGGTAAGTGGACATTTTAATCATGTATATGTCAGGCAGCATGCTGGGAGCTGGAGACCCAGATGATTGAGACAAGCCCCTTAGGACACTTTCTCTGAAGCGTGAGTGCCTGTCCTGGGTCTGCTCTGCATCACAGTGGGGGTGGACAGGGGAGTGGACAGTATGGCCCCGAGGTGTGTGTTTCTCCAACTCCTGGGTTTGGCCAATGGCAAGCATTAGAGAAAAATTGGTAGGTGAGAGGAAGGGGGAAACCAGGACATAGGTTTCCCTGGCAATGGCTGACTCTCCTCTCTGGTTTTTCCTTCTGGTTCCTGGGCTCAGGTCATGCTTCATTCTTCCTTTGTTCTTTAAGCTTGGGGCTGGCAGTAGCTTCCTGCTGTTACTAATCTCTGGGTTACTTCACTAATCCTGATGGAGTTCTCACCTTCTTTCATCATCTGGCAAACCAATCCCTGTATTCAATACCTTCTGTTGAATGAGGTTTCTGGTAGACCCTGACTGAAATAACTTGACGAGGGCTATGATGCAAGAAGCTCAGGTTGTCATAAGAGCATATCGCAGCTGGGCTCAGTGGCTCAGCCTGTAATCCCAGCACTTTGGGAGGTCAAGGTGAATGAAATGCCTGAGCCTGCAGGTTTGAGACCAGCCCAGGCAAGACCTTGGGCTGAGACCTTGACTCTACAATAAATCAAAAATTAGCTGGGCACGGTAGCACACGCCTGTAGTTCCGGCTACTTGACAGGCTAAGGCAGAAAGATCACCAGAGCCCAGCAGGTCAACACTGGGGTGGCCATGAGTGCCTCTGTGATAGCTCTCTCTAAAGCACTCTAGCCTGGGCAATAGAGTGAAATTCCAACTAAAAAAAAAAATAATAGAAGTAGCTATTATTATCATTATGAGTGATGCTATCATTATTATTTATATGAATACTATTACTACTCCCAAGCTTCTGTTCTCTGATTCAAGTCCCTAGTTCCCTGAATTTGTGCTTAGTCCCTGCTCAGTGGAAGGAGGAAGTCTATAAGCTTCCAGAAGCAGAAGAGATGTGTAGTAGAGCCACAAAGGCATTAGAGTAGCCAGTGCTGGCTACCCAGGCAGGTGGACATCAAAGAGTGGAGATTCCTTGGGCAGGAGGATCCGGGCAAGGTATGCAGTGGGCCAGCCAAGTCAGGGGAGTCTGGGCAAGCTGGGTACCAGGTGATCCTGAAGGTCTCATGGGAGTCTGAGCTACCTGTGCTCACTGGCTTGGTAAGATCAGGAGCATGGTGTGGAAAGGTATGTATCATGCTGAGGTGGTCTTTCTAGATTGCTAGTGCATTGCCCAAGCTTGGGACAAGGAATGCTTGTTATTTTAGAGCAAAATCCTTGCTCAACAGGGTACAGTGCTCCCAAGGGGCCTGGGGGAGAAACAGGGTAGACCTTCTTTGAGCTTCTGGTTGTAACTTACCCCCACCTTGCTGCCTGGTTGAGGGGAAACGGACTTCTGTTGGGCAGTTACCTCCATAGGCAACTTTTTTTTTCTCTTAAAGTCAGGATCTAACTCTTTCACCCAGGTGTAGTCATACAATCACGGCTTACCACAGGCTTGACCTCCTGACTCAGTCTCACAAGTGTACAGGTGTGCACCACGACACTCGGCTATTTTTTTGATTTTGTTGTAGAGATGAGGTGTCGCTATGTTGCCCAGGCTAGTCTCCAACTCCTGGGGTCAAGCAGTCCTTCCCCCTCTGCCTCCCAAAGTGCTGGGATTATAGATGTGAGCCACCATGCCCTACATGGGCAATATTTTTTTAATACGCTTTTTATTTTAGAATAGTTTTAGGTGTACAGAGAAGTTGTGAAGAAAGTACAGAGTTTCTGTTTGCCCCCAGCCAGTTTTCCTTTTGCTAACGTCCAACATTCGTGTGCTTCACTTATCATAACTCATACACCAGTATTGGGACAGCATCATTAACTCAATTTTATACTTTATTCCAACATCCTCAGTTTTTTTCCCCCCAATGTCCTATTTCTGTCCCCAGATCTCATTCAGGATCCCACATTACGTTTAGTTGTCATGTCTCCTTAAGACTCTTCTTAGCCATGACAATTTCTCTGATGTCCAGTTTTTGGTAATCTTGACAGTACTGAAGAGTACCGGTTGGGTATTTTGCAGAATGCCCCTCAGCTGGGATTTGCCTCATGTCTTTCTCATTATGACACTGGAGTTATAGATTTTTTGTTGTTATTGTTGTTTTTTGAGTTGCAGTCTCACTCTGTCACTGACTGGAGTGCAGTGGCCGCTCCCGGCCACCGCAGCCTCGACCTGCTGGGCTCCGGCGATCCTTCCGCCTCAGCCTTCCAAGTAGCCGGAATTACAGGCATGCGCTACCCACGCCCGGCTGATTTTTTGATTTATTGTAGAGATGAGGTCTCGCTGCCCAGGCAGGTCACGAACCTGCAGGCTCAGGCAATCCACTCACCTCAGCCTCCCAAAGGCGCGGGATTACAGGCTGAGCCACCGAGCCCAGCTGAGTTATAAGTTTTAGAGAGGCACAGGCGACTGGGTAGCCTTTTCATTCCTGCCACCCTCCTGATGTGGCTGGAAGCGCCATGAAGCTGCCTTATGGCTTGTAGGGGCTGGCCCCACCATCACCACATACCCAAGCAGGGCTCACTCACCAGCTCTCCCAGGCTAGTGTGAATTTCCGGCTTCTTGAGAATGATTGGTTTAGTTTTCTAGGTCCTCATGTTTTTATTAAATACTACTGCATCCCTTCAGTGATTTCTTCATGGGCTGTTCACTGTTTGCCCATTCTGGGAACTGCTCTGACATGGGGAGATTAGTTCCCATGATGTCACCATGACTTCTGGGTTATATAGCTGCTAGATGGTGGCTTGCTGCAGAAAGGATCCCAGTTGAGTTTTGTTCAATCTCAA